TCTGCATGCTTTAAATTCCAGTGTCAAAAGGGAGGGGGAAGGCACTGGAGCCACCCCTCTTGGGACCTCCTAATATCCCCTGCCTTTGTAGCTACACAGACCACAGGAAGTCTGAGCCCGCTAAGAGTCCCTCAGTGGGGTGTCCAGGCAAATGACCCTGGGCTGGTCCTGCCTCTGACCACCAGGCAGATCCCTGCCTTAGACCTGATCAGAACCTTAGATTCCAGTGACTGAGACTGGGCTTTGACAGTGTTGGGGGGGTGTTGTTGAACAGGCTGGAGGACCCTGGGACTGGGGCAGAGGAAGTCTTCAGGTCAAGGACACACACAGCATCCTCAGGCCACACAGACTCACAAAGCCCCCAAATGTGCCTTCACAAGTACATGCCCCTGTCCACAGGCCTCAGCCCCTGCCCACTCCCGCAGAGCTCTTCCATGCAGGCCTGGCTGCTCTGCCCTCCCCCAGCACACCCGCCTTCAGCAAGGATAAGATCTGGCAGCTGAGCCCAGCTCCAGGGAAAGCCTCAGAGGGTGGATGGGACACTCAGTCCCAGCCCAGCCTCCCACAGGCTCTGGACTCTAGCCCAGAGACCCTGGGTCAGGCATGAGGGCAGGGCAGTGGGAGGGGATGGCCCAGAACACGCAGGAGGTGTGCCTGTCGGAGGGGCCACTGGAGCCCAGCTCCATGTGTGGCCCTCCCCACAGCCCTCCCACTCACACCTCGAGTCTCAGTCCAGGACTGTGGTGCGGGAATCTCTGAGCTGCAGGCCGTCCAGTCTATCTTCTGTCTCCTAATGGGTTAGCGCCAAGCTTCAGGGAGGCATCTACCCTACCCAATGATCCCCAAATGCCTCCAGGGACTCCCAGATTGTCTGTTTGAGTGTTGGCATTTACTGCTGGGCCCTGGCATACATAGGCATTGGAAGGATGAAGGGTGAGGCCCCAGAAGCCTTGGGAGTAGGGTTTGGCCAGGCAACCATGGGCTGGCCCTTTGGTGCTTTCTCCTGGTTTGTTGTTTCGGCCCTGGGATCTGCTCCCATGGGTCCTAGGCCTGCTCCCCTGCCCTTGGGTTGGGTTCTGCCTGCAGCCTCCCCCACTTTGGTTCCCCTTACAGCTGCTCCCTTATGGACCATTCCTCCCTGGCTTCTTCTACCCAAGGCAGGAGGAAGTCCAGCTCTTGAACCAGCCTTCCAGGCCCAGCACGCTGTGTTCTCTGTCCCCCTGCCAGCTCTCCTCTCCTTCACCTTCCTGCCCCTTCCAGCCATGAAGAGAACTAGAAGCTTCCTGCCCTTCCTCTCACTAGTAGATTTTTTTTGCACATGCTGTCCTCTCTGCCTGGAATGCCCTCCCTTGCTGTGTTTCTGGGGTAAACACTTCTCTTCACCTGTCTCCACAACCTCTGCCTCCTGTCCTGAGTGTCTCTGCCCAGGCAGGCTCTGGGCCTATGTTTCCACTTCATCCTAGCATCCAGGTGCATGAGCTCAAAGCCCCAGATCTGGGGGTGGCAAAGTCTCCACTGCTGCCTGTTGAATGCAGACCTGTCTGGTTCTGGTCTCACAACCAGCTTCCTCCCAGCTCATGGGATTTAAAACCAAATCTGGGGCAGGCACTGTGGCTTATGCCTGCAATCCTAGTACTTTGGGAGGTGGAGGCAGGAGGATTACTTGAGCCCAGGAGTTTGAGACCAACCTGAGCAACATAGTGAGAGCTCGTTTCCAAAAAAATAAAAATGAAAAAATTAGCCAGGCATGATGGTACACACTTGTAGTTTCAGCAACTCAGGAGGCAGAGGTAGGAGGATTGCTTGAGCCCAGGGGTTCAAGGTTGCAGTGAGCTTTGATCGTGCCACTGCACTCCAGTCTGGGTGATAAAGTGAGACCTTGAATCAACCAATCAATCAATCAATACATACATACACTATTTCCAGACTATGCCTAGGGTGGGCAGAGTAAGTGAAATCGTTGATATACCTCAAAAAAGTTCCTCTTGCCCCCACATAGCTCCCCTGGTGGTTCATCATACTATTACACACACCACTGTTAGCACTTTGATCCTTTGAGGACAATAATATTATCTTTCTTAAATGTTCTCAATTTATATGCAAATACCACTGGCACTTCTTGAGGCAGGGCAGCAAAACAGAACTCATGGGCTGCCACATGTCTTTTCTGACACCCATGGCAGACATCACCAATCAATCATAGTGTTCATTCCCACTAAACTTAAACTTAGGCCCTGAATCCTCGATATGATCTTTGAAGTAGAGGCTACTCATTGACCAGACCTAGTCTGTGATGTGAAACTAACCTGTGCGGGGTCTCTGGACTGCAGGGCATTCAGCCTACCTCCTAATTGGTCAGTTCCAAGCTTCAGGGAGAGAATGCCTACCCTAGAGAGCTTTTCCAGTTTCCTCTGGGCTTCCCAGGACTGTGTTGCAGTGGGGGCGACAGAATGAGCCCCACATACCTGCCTGCTTGCACCTTCCCAGCTGCTCATGAGCTGTGTGGCCTTGGGCCCATCTCTTGCTCTCTGATCCTCAGTTTTCTTATCTGTAGTGGAGGCAACAGAAGCTGCCTCTGTAGGCAGGATGAAATGAGATCATGAGCCCAAAGTCTGGCACTGTAGGTGCTCAGTAAGAGTGTGGGTATCTTGACTCCCGTCTATTCACTCATTCAGCCGGATGGCTTTGGCTTCGACTGACTGACTCACTCCTGACCTCATTCCCTGGTTCTGTCCTGGGCCTGCCTCCTACTCCCCTCTGTTCCAGAAGGAAATCTCATTCTTCGCCTTCCTGGTCCCACCCTGTGGGTCCTGCTTCCTCCTCCTTCTAGTACCTGTACCTGCCAGGGTCTGACTGTGGCCTAAGAAGGACAATCTGGAGGTCCCTGAGGCTCAGACTGCAGAGGGGCTGCCCAAGGCCTCTCAGCATCCAGGGCTCCTGTTCTTCCCCAGGAAGCCATCTGTGATAGAGCCTCCTGACACCAGCATGAACCTGGATCAGAATAGGCTTCTCAGCATCTTCTCAGCCAGAAGCAAGCTCTTGAGTGCAGAAACTGTCTCCTAGAACATTTCTTCCCTCCTTACTCGTAGCTACAGAGAAGGAATTCAGACACCATTAATGGGTCCGTGTGAATGAAAGGGCCGAACATTTTTCCTGGGATGGTGGTCTTCGTGTCCCTGAGGCAGCAGTGGTGCCGTGAGTCATCCAACTTTGGAGAGTGTGGCCCCCTTAGGCTTCCTGCCCTCATGTCCGGTCCTTGTTCAGCAACACAATAGCTCAGGCTGAGAAGGCAGGGTGAGAAGCTTAACCCCTTCAGGGCAGTGGACACCTCCCCTGCCCCTCACCATAATAAGCCTGGGTTGGCAAGGCTGCCCAGGGGCTCTACAGCTCTTGGGGTACTCGGAGGCCACCTGCTGCCCTCCCATCGCCCAGGAATGAGCCGAGGCTCCTGGTCCTGGCTCTGGTAGCCTGAGGGATCTAAAAGATCCCTCAGGCCATGCCGCCCTCCCCCCCACCCATGTCTTCTGAGCTGCCTCCTCTGGAATGCCCTTTGATCTCTCCAGCCAGAATTTGACCTGCTCATATACACAAGAAGTATTCACATCAGGGAGAGATCCTGGTACATAGCAGGTACCCAGGGGTGCTCTCCAAGGGAAGAGCTGAGTCCACGTCCTCCCACTAGCTCCCATCCTGTTCCCCTGCTGAGCGCCTGACCCCTCACTGAAGGGGGCTTGACCGAGGTTCAGACATCCACAGCTACATCAGTTCTGGGGTAGCAGGTAAATTTAGCTGCCATTCCTTAAAGGTCTCCTGCAATGAACCACTCCCAGCTCCCAGGGTGTTAATGCACTCGATTCACTGAGGGAAAAGCTGTTTCTCCCATTTTACAGATGAGAAACCTGAGACCTGGAGGAGCTCAATGGTGTGGAAAGAATCTGGGCTTCAGGGTTGAGATCCTGATTCAAATTCCCATACCAAGGCTTACATCTCCAAATTTCAGTTGCCTCCACTGAGATATGAAGAAAGAAAATGTCTACCTCACGGGTTGTTAGTAAAATAATAATGAGCCCCCATCATCTCTAGTTACCACAGTGAATTGCAAAATGCTTCGCTATGACCATTGTTCAGACAAACAAATGGAGGTTTGAAGCTTTTGGGTAACATTCCCAAGGGCACACCAAAGCAAACAGGAGAGCTGGGATGTGCACTCAGCTTTCACAGCAGACCTCCTGCCTTCCAGGCTTTCTGGGGGACTTCTCTTGGCTGTGAGGCCCTCAGGGCCCTCAGGAGCTCAACTTTGGGTGCTGGAGGCAGAAAGGGTGGGCCACCTTCCTGACTACAGTTCCCTCAGCACACAGTCAGCCCTTGCGGTGTTTGGGGCAGGGAAGGAAGGGGATCTCATAGGCAGGGCCTCAGGTGCCTAGAGCCAAGCTTCAGCTTGCCTGTTCTGAAAATGGGGACACTGGCTGACAGAGAGAGGCCGAGGTTCAGAGCTCCTCTTTCAGGGCTGCTCCCCACATCCCAACACAGAGCCTTGGGTGGGGTGTGGGTAGGGGACTGAGGGGAGTGCATCAGGCCTTGGTAAGTCCTTTCCAGCAGGAGAAAGGGCACTGAGGGGAAGCCAAGGCCTGGGTGCCAGCCCTCTGCCCTGGCATTCTGGGCGACTGAGGCAGAATCCTCCTCTCTCAACCTGGCACTGTTGAAAGCCAGTGGGCCCTGGGGCCACACCAAATTGGACAGGCTACTTGTGGGTGAGCCGAGCCCTCACCCCCTCCCTCAGCCCTGAGATGCCCATTTGTGCCCCTGGCACCACCGCTGGGTGTACCTTCCCCAGGCCCGCCCCAAGCTGAAAAGGGACCCAGCCTGCCCTCAAGACGGAGGCAGCTATCCCCCTGGGAGCCTGACGATGCCCATTCTACAGATGGGGAAGTTAAAGACCCTCCCATCTTGGGCACAGGGTGGGAGATCTGGGGTGGAGTGGAGTGAGGGAGCCCACTCACCTCGCCCGTGGGCTGAAGGGTATCTCCGTTCCGTCGGATAGTCTGTCTGTCAAGGCCGAGTGTGGAGTGGAGTTCTGTGGAGCTCCGTTGACTGCCTCTGGAGGGGAGCCACACCCTGCCGGCGAGGGAGGCCTGGCCACCGCCCCTTCAGGTTTTCCAGCTGGCCCTGGCCCACTTCCCCCCGGGATGGCTTCCTGTTATTGTTCCTTTGTGAGGCCTGGGCTGGCTGCAGATAGGCAGGCCCCACGGTGGGTGGTTGCCTGGGCCCAGAATACCTATCTCCACGGAGGCCTGGTCCCCGCCTGGGAAGCTCCACTGGGACCCCAACTTCAGGCCTCAGCTCTGGGGCCTTAAGCCCAGCACCTGCCAAGAACTTGGCTCTGAGGGCCTTGGGCCCGAAACATCATATCAAACCCTCCTTGGAACAACAAAGGCTGGTGTCATCACCCCTATTTCAAAGCCCAGGATACTAAGGCTCAGCGGATTTAAGGTGCTTGTCCACTCAGCTGGGGTGGAGCAGAGCTGGAAATCCTGGTGAGCCAGCCCAGCCTCCCAGCTTGATTTGCTGTGATGACTTATGACATCCTTGGGTGCACAGACTTTAAAATTGATGGGGAGATTTCAGGAGATTGAAAACAGATAGCGCTCTTGGCTCTGGAGGGCCAGGTCAGCTTCTCCCTGGGGTAGGCGTGGTCTCCAACTCTAAGGCTCCCACCTGGGTCTATGCAGGTCATTTGGGTTTAGAAATATTGGTTGGAGTCAAGTGATCTGGGTCTGCTTCTGATGTGACATTGGGCCAGTCATGTCCCCCAGAGCCTCAGTTTTCTTATCTGTAAAATGGGGTTTATCAAAGCCTCAACTTCATAAGATACTTGTGATAAATAAGAATCAAAGAGGAGCTTGGAAAGTAGTGAAGGCAGAGGCTGGACCAGAGCCCCTCAGAACTAAGAGACTGGGGGAGGGTCAGGCTGAGGGCTGAGAGTCTATTTATCATGAGAGTCACAGCAGGATCTTCTGGAAAATGCAGGGCATTTTTGGTTCACCCCAGGGCAACCGACTTGATATCTCCCAGGGCAGTCCCCAATCTTTCCTTTGAAGAGTTGCTTCTGTTTTTCCATAGGGAATGGCTGGGAAGTCTTGAACTCATTTCATTATACAGCTGGGCATACAGAGACCCTGAGAGGGAAAGGGCCTTGCCAGGGGCACCCTGAAAGTCAGACAGTAAGATGGAGAGTGGGATGGATGAATGTTTTTGTTTTTATTTTTTATTTTTTGGGGGGGTCTCACCCTGTCTCCCAGGTTGAAGTGCAGTCGCACTCTCACAGCTACCAGAGCCTTTACCTGTACTCAGGTGATCCTTCTGCCTTAGCCTTCCAAATATTTGGAAATACACTCATGTGTCACCATGCCTGGCTAATTCTATTTTGGTTTATTGTAGAGATGAGGTCTTGCCAAGTTGCCAAGACTGGTCTCAAACCCCTGGGCTCAGGCAATTCTCTCACCTCATCCTTCCAAAGTGTTAAGATTACAGGCATGAGCCACTGTGCCCAGCTAAAAAACTTTTTTTTAGGGAGGAGAAAATAAATATTCCTCTGTTTTTGGCAGGTTGCGATTGAGACACCCAAGTGGAGATTGGTGGTTGGGCATGGGGTGAGCTGCCCTGGAGCTGAGGTTTGGGTCCTATGGACCTGTGGCTGGAACTTGAAGCCAGAGGCATGGATGTGCTTGCAGGGAAGGAGGCCTTGGGCCCTTTGACTTTTGGGAATCTTTAGAAGAGGATTGAGTGGGTAAGGAGAAATGCTGGGAGAAGGCAGGACTGAGGGAAGCTGGGTCAGTCTGAGACGCGACTGCTGGGTTGGGAAGACAGGTTCATCAATGACTGTGACCAGAGCAGGTTAATCAGGAAAAGAGTAGACAGGACAGACAGAGGGGTCAGAGAAGGGGGAGTGAGGAAGAGGAGTCATGTGTGGTTATAGCTCCTTTCCCAAGTCTTGAAGTGAATGGGAGCAGAGAAGTGAGGGGGATGTTTTAAGCTGTGGCAGCATGCTTGTGTCCCGAGGGAGCATCCCGCAGAAGGGGAAGACAGATGCCACTGGAGTGAGAGGAGCACCCTGCTGCAAGAGAACACTCCTTGGGGCTTGGGGCGGGATTCTGCATGGGATCCAGCACAGTCAATCAACGGACTGTGGAATGAAAAACAACAGCTCAGCGTTTCCCTCTCCAACAGGGTGAACGCTGCCTTCTCCTGCCCAGAGGGTGGGCTGGCCGCAGAGGAACCGAGACAGGCCCACGCTTCATCGTCTCCTTGTGTTCAAGCCCGCTTCCCCACATCCCCACTTGCGCCAGCTGCCTGCCCTCATGGTCTACATGCCCATGGGGACATGCCAGCCTGGGCATGGCTTCCTGCTGGGTCTCAGACTCAGGGCTGGTGGCAGATGGAGACAGGGCCTGTCCTGGCACCATCTGCCAATTCCCTTTGTATTCCCAGGTCGTAAGGAAGTTGACTCTGCCCTGAAAACTGCTGTTCCCGTCGTCTGTAAACAAGGGAATGGTTGGCTAGGCAAGTGCTGTGGGCCACAGGGATGGGGGTCAGGGTCATTGTAGCAGAGATGGTTCAGACCACAGGAGGGGAGGCCAGTGCCCCCTCAAATGCTCCCCTCATGCCTGATTTCTGGCACTGCCCAGTCCCTGCTCCAACTCCATTGGCGGTAAAGGAGGTAACAGTAGGGCACAAGGTCAGGAAGTGCCATCTGGAGCAAGGGAGGCAGCCGGTGGGTCGGCAGGAAATAGGAGGGTCTGTGAAACCAGATTAGCAGCAGAGGAGGAAGCAACAATGGAGGCAGTGGGGGTGGGTGGGAAAGTGCAAGGCCCAGGAACATCCATCCAGCCTCTGCCAGGATGAGGGCTAACCAGGCAGGGAGACCTGCTTGAGATACAGGTGTGGGGGTTGCAGGCCCAGATTCGAATCCTAGTGTGACTGGTGGCTGCCTGTGTGGCCTGGGACGGTGACTTGCCTCTTGAGCCTCTTTCCTCACTTGTGGAATGGACTATCCACTTAGTCTTTGCGGGCTGTCTGGAAGATCCAATGAGACAGCGAAGTTAAATGACAGTAACAACAAGCGTTACTGAGTGGGTATTTCTCAAAGTGTGGTCTTCTAGCCATCTGCCTCAGAATCGCTTGGCAGGAGGGGATTGAAAATGCAGATTCCTGGACCCCACCCCGGGCCAACGGCATCATAAAGGTTGGTGATGAAAGCCTGAGACCTGTGTGTGTGTGTCGTTCCCCAGGTGACGTGTTTGTCAGCCTCCGTGTGGGCTGGTAAGGGCTCCGTGGGACTCCTTCAACCCTCAGGACAACCCTGGGGGGCAGTACTATTGCTAGCCCTGTTATACAGATAGGAGAACAGAGGCTGGGAATTAAGTGCTCCCCAAGGTCAAGGAGTTTGTGAGTAGCAGAACAGACATTATGAGCCAGGTCCTTGTCTCCAGAGCACAGCTGCTCTGTGACACCGAGCTTTCCTGCCTCACTGAGTGAATGGTGTCCTGGCAGGACACAGTAGGAGCTCGCACAGCAAGGATTTCCTTTCCCTACTCCCCACAGACCCCAAGGATAGGGCAGGGAAGCAATGCTCTCAGCTTCAGCAGAGGAGGTCCTGGTGAAACCATGTGGCCTATGCCTGGAGACTTTGCCTCTGCTGTTCCACTTCCTGTGTCCCCCTCCTCCCAAGTCCCATTAGCTCCTTCCAGATCTCACCTCCTCTGCGCTCCACTCCCTCCTCTGTGCTCACAGAGCACTTTATTCAGACCTCCTTCACAGCCCACCTCCCCTTCCTACTTGGTCTGTGTCTCATTTGGGTGTTGGTCCCTGGCACCAGCATAGGGGAGAGCCCCCTAAATGTAGACTTGAAACTGTGCTCCTTAGAACCACAGTCATCCATCCCACTGTGGGCCAGATCTTCAGCTTCCTCAGGGGTTGCTTGGGTGTGTGGGTCTCTCTACCTCTGCTCTGAAAGGCCTGCCCTGTCTGCAGAGAGCAGTGACACAGTGGCCTCTCTCCATGCCTCCCTGCTTCTGCCTTTTTAGCCAGCTTCCATCTTGCTGGGAGTTGGGATGCTGCTTCCTGCTATGGCCAATGTAACTGCTGTATTATTTCTTTTTTACTTATGGTTTTGGTCTGGTGTGGTCTCAGTAGGTGGGGGAATAGTTAGGATTCTCCTGTGAGGAAGCTTGGATGGAATTTACTCCATGGATTTTTGTCAGTGGCTTTGTTTGGTTGTGGAAAAATTTTCCTTTCTTTTGTCTTTTTTTTTCCAGATAATTGCTCCGGGTTACCTGCAGCTACTGTATTTGTGGCCCCCACGAGGAGCCTGAGTATCTGAGGATCAGGCTTCCCTGGGCCAGACTGCCCAGAGCACTTTCCCACTTGTTTCTCACTTTTATTTCACAACAGGGAGAATTCCTGACAGTGAGAACAATACCATACCGAAGCCCCTGGAGGGAGGCAGGGAGGGAGACTGCCAGGAGCACTTTCTTAGATGTTTCTCACTTTTCTTTCACAACTACATGGAAGGTTTTTAGAGAAATGGTGACCCCAGGGGCTAAGGGAAAGTAGTGCTCTGTGGTTACCTTCAGGGACACATACTTACAGTTTGACCGATCCTCGACCAGACCAGCCACATAACCTTTGGTGCCTTCATTTTTCCCTCTGAAGTGGGGGTGATTGCATGCCTTCCTCACAGGGCTTCTGGGAGGGCTAATTGAGAAGATGCATTAAAGCACATAGAATAGTCTCTCGGATACAGTAGGTGCTCAATAAATGCTCATCATGATGATAATGCTGCAGAAAGGTTAATGGTGGAAGGGCCTGTTAGTGTGTGAGGGCACACGTGTATACATGTGAGGATGTTAGCACGGGCATGGCATGTGCATGGTGTGTGACTACATGTGAATGTATGAGAACATGCATGGTATGTGTGAGGCATTCACATGGATGTGATCACTTGTCTTGTGTGTGGTGAGTGAGTGGGCTGAGGGGTGCAGCCTGGCCAAGGCAGCATTTTCTCGGCCTGTGTGTCACCTCACTGCACAAGCCTTCTTTGTCCCCATCTCTGGCAGGGGCCCAGAGAGGGCAAAGCCTTGCTCAGTGTGGTCCAGTGAGCCAGATGGGGCAGGATGGGATCGAGGGCTCTGCCTCTCACTTTCTGG